AGGGTACCATATTAGGGTCCCTTATTTTTGGAAACCCCCATATTCGGCTCAGGTAGACAACATCACAGACTTCGAACCACCGAATATCCCCTCACACGAGGTGATCAACACTGCCGGACATCGATTTTTTTGTTGAGGCCTGCCTTCTTGCTTGTTCTGAAGGAGCGAGGAGGGGGGTGGGTTTACTCAAATCCGCTGCGCGGGATCAGTGAAGCCTAGCGTCAAAGTAGCGCTGCCCTGGCGAAAGCAGACATCCTGCAGGACAGGCGGATAGGTATAAACACCCCATGGCCCTATAGCCACCCTTACAATAACTTTTTGTAACCCTTCTAGTAACTTTAGTGATCCTTGTAGGAAGCCCCTAACCCCTAAATCCTAAACCCCTAAATAAAACTCTTGTGCGGACAGCGTGTGTGTGAGGAGTGAGGAGCTGCTTGGGGATATTGCCACGTCGGACCATGCAGGCACCAGGCTTTTGGGTTTCGAATCTTGGGCTGGGAGCTTCCGGGTTTGCGTAACTTTTGGGTTTTAGGGGTTTACTTCAAGGATCATGGGACTTAGTAATTAGGGTTATAGTTACGGTAACTATACTTATATTTACCTATAACCCCACTTAAGGGACTTATAACTTTACTTACTAACTCCCATGATCCTCCAAGTAGGGTTTAGGCACCATTACACACGAACTACTTCTCCGTATAGGCCTTTCCAAACCCAAAGCCCCAGACAATGCCGCAACGAATGTGTGTGTGTGTGTGTCTCATGCTCTGCAGAGCAGGAGGGTGCAGAAACGAACAGAGCTACGGCCAGTAAACTTGTGCACAGTAGGTCCAAATGGCGTCGTCCGCACATTGCAACCACCAACTACGAACATGCTATTATTTAAAAGTCACCAGACTAACAGAATAACTCGAACACATAAAAACATAATTCCTTGAGGTGCCTTCTTATAATTACAGTGTCATATCACCCCACTTAAAGACGAACCTGATTGTAATTGTTTTTTTACAATGTATAACTGAAATCGAAACCGCAAATTATGGCAACACAGTGTGACCGGATGATCCCCACCTCCGAAGCGATCTCGAAGCTCGTCTCCAACCTACCCGGGCATGAGTCTCAGTTTAGGGGCTTCGGCTTAGCTTTTGTCGCGGAGTTTCGGGTTTGCGGCTTTCGGCGCTCACCCTCGGACATGCCAGGGTAGGGTCTTGGAGCCTAGCCGTCGGAGTTGAGGCTTATGTTCGAGTACTTGTATGCTGAATGCTATCCGACTCAAGCAATGAAATTCAGGGTTTCAGCACTCACTCTTGGACTTGCCTAGGCGAGGTTTAGGGTTTAGGCTTTGAGGACCCTGATATCAAATGGTTCAGGTCGGCTTGGGGCTTCAGGTTGTGGGCTACTACAGTGACGACAAGCGGTTTCCGTCATCTCCGGCCGTCGAGGACAATGCGCCGTGGCGGTGTAAGACTGTTTCAGTCTTGCTAGGTCAGGAGTAGGTAATTATGTTGGGTAGCTTCCGTGGCTACGGCCCTATGATGGTGGACGTGCTCGTCTGTTTTGTGTTGGCCACCTGCCTATCTGACTTGAAGGTTAAATGATGCTTTCAGCGTTTAAGGCATACCGGTTTGTAAGCCTCCATAGCCCACATAAACATGAAGGTATACCTGGAATTCCCAGGCAACACTGTATCTTGATAGGGAGTCCCCATGACCACAAGCTAAGAGTCGACGTGCAGAATATGAGGGCCTTAACTTAACATTTCGAGCAGGCTGGGTGATACTACAGCTTCCGAGCTCTAAACTCCCCTGCGAAGGGCCTCGGGCATCAAAAGTTGCCCGCCGAGTAAAGGCATCCGAATGCGTACTCCAAAGACCCCCGCTGTCCTTCTCAGGTATTCCGAGGCCTGATGCACCCCATCGTCCAGGCTCAGGGTCACTCGCCTTTAGGGTTTTGGGCGGGGCTAGGATTTATGGTACGTTCGAATCGGGGAAGCCTCAGGGTTTGGGCTTGAGGGCCCCTACAGTATCCCTAAAGTCCTACACTTCCGCAAACCCCAAGAAACACGGGCCCCAAACCCCAAGTGCTGCGGCGCTGAGAGTGAAGTTTAAGAGCTTCTGAAAGTCTGTGTGTGTGTGTTATGTGTGTGTATATATATATATAGATAGATATGACGTTTGCGTTATGCTATGTTAAACTATACTGTGTTGTAATACATTGCAGTACATTACATTACATTGCACTACATTAAATTGCATTACATCACGTTAGTTTATATTGCAATACATTATATTACATGTGTGGCATACCATGTCCTACCCTATATCCTATCACATCACATCGAATCCAAGTCAAATCAGATGGATTCAATACGGACCATAATACAACATGTCATACCGAGAGGGACAGACAGGAGAACAACAGATAGATATGTCGAAAGATAGGTAGGTAGACAGAGAGATCAGTAGAATCAGTAGACGATAAACAGATAGACATATGAATAGATACAAAACTAGATCGATCGAATGACCGAAAGATCAACAGAACCGATGGATGAATGGATGGACGGATGGACGGATAAATCGAAAGTGCAAACAGAAGATAGATGCCAGCGAGCCAGCTGGCTAGCTAGGCCAACAGGTAGGTAGGTCGATCGGTAGGTCGGTAGATGGGCAGATGGGTAGACGGGTAAATGCTCAGTAGGCCGTCGATCGGTAGGTAGGTAAGTAGGTAGGTAGGTAGGTAGGTAGGTAGGTAGGTAGGTAGGTAGGTAGGTAGCTAGCTAGGCAGGTAGGTAGGTAGGTAGGTAGGTAGGTAGGTAGGTAGGTAGGTAGGATAGATGGGTAGATTGGTAGCTGGATAGATAGGTAGATAGGCCTTTAGGTAGACAGGAAGATAGGTGGATAGGTAGCTAAGTAGGAAGTAGGTAGGGCAGGGAGGAAGGTAGATAGGCAGATAGGTAGATAGGTAGCTAGATAGGTTGTCAGATAGATAGATACATAAATAAACAGATAGAAAGGTAGATAGACAGATCGACAGTTAGAACCGAGTGGCCGTAAGCAGGAAATGCCGACTGCCAGAAACCTTGGGTTCCAGATGGGAGCTTTAAGAGCAAAGAGCTCCTGTAGGGTTTAGGATTTGGTTTTCAGTTTTTTCTCACCCTAGTTTAAGTTTTACGGTTTATGGTTTAGGGTCAGTGACGTGGTTATTCCCCCTTTCATTGCCAGCTTGCTTAGAAGGAGTGCTTCTGTTCAGAGGCTGGGCTGGAATACTGGGACAAGAATTGATTTTCCGGAAAGACCACACCGAGATAGCGAGTCTCATTGCACGCTTTGCTTCGCGTCTTTCCTGGTTGACACTCGGCTTGGAACCCGAAACCTCGGGTCGCTGCTGCTAGCTGCAGAAGCACCCAAAACCCCGAAAGCGTGATATGCAAAACCCTGAAAGCCTGAACCCTCATGACCACTAAAACCCTTCATCTTAAACTCACAAAGCCCCAAAACCCCAGGCTCTGAAATCCTGAACACCACAAAAACCTCAAACACCTCATGCCTGAATTTCCAGCCGTTCGAAGACAGAGCTAGACACCCTCAATGCAGCCATGCGGCAGTAGGTAGTCAGCGAAGAAGCACAAGTTCACGGCGCCACCCAGCCAGGAGTGGGGGTCCCAGTAGTGAAAGGCCCGCGCCTGTCCCAAGCTGCTTTCGTCTGAAGGAGTTTTGTCGAAAGACACGTGGAGCTTTGGCTTCCGGGCTCTCCTCCAATCCCGCCCTCTTGAAACCGAGCGGAGGAAGGCTCCGGCCACTTACAAGATATCAGCCACCAGTGGGCCAAATCGGCGGACAAGTTGGGCATGAGCGACTCCGAGGCGCGGCCCTAGGTCTGGAGTCGCACATCCATCTGTGTGGCACGACGTCTCAGCCGAACGAGTTTGTTCGATCCTTTGCTGCGGGGCGGCTGGGTTGCTGCAATTCTACATCAAGCCAGAGCTAAATGATGGAAACCACCTTGTCCCTCATGGGGCGCCTTCTTGTGCATCCAGTTCAGGATGTAGAAGATCCGATAGAAGCCCATGAAGCAGATGTATGTGGCAACCTGCGAATGGAGGAATCCGATGAGTCTTTCCCTTAGATTTCAGGCAGCTGGTGTTGTGGACTTCGTGACACCAAACACAGATCTATAGGGTTTAGGACGGATTTAAGGGCATATCATCAGCACCCACACCTTGACATGGTGCAGCTGCAGGCTGGGTCTTGCTGCTGCGAAGACCCCCTACTTGCCCAACCAGGCACTCGTGAGATCTCCTTAGAGAGAGAGAGAGAGAGAGAGAGAGAGAGAGAGAGAGAGATATATATATATATATACCATGATCAGCTTCACCGACTTTAACTTCGATCGTCTTCTGCTTCTATGCACTCTGCAGAAACTCACCCGGGAATCTCTGGACCATCAGATACCAATCCGTGACTCTCGGTGCAACCCTGACTTTTCAGGCCAGGGATCGCCACACTCATCTTTCTGACCGTCACAGGAGTTCCGATAAGAGCAGATGTATTGCGGAACCATGGCAAAACCTGGGCATCTCAAGTTCTGATCTCGAAAAAGTGGGGTTGAGTTGAGGAGGATGCAGGGGCTGCCTACGGACTGGGGGGTGCAGGGCTTCATGCGAGGCGATGCATCCATGGTAAGTCCCCTCCCCTTTAAAGATGGTCGAGTTGGGCAGAAAGATCGTCGTCGACAGTACGAGGCATGATCGCGGGCGAGGAAGGGCGTGGGAGTCGGGCTAGGAGTCGCAAGTGATGCTCTGGAACTCTTTCTGTGGGTTTCTTTCAGCCTGCTTCAGGCGCATGCAGAGTTTGTGTGCTGGCTCCGTTTCTGAGTTGGTTTGCCAAAACCATTGGAAACTGACCGGTGCTGTTTGCCGTCAAAGTGGGACGTAATACGAGAAGTCCTTGGAGATGCGGATCCGGGTGCGAGAACTCGTGACATGGCAAGCGTCTGGAGAAGCTGGCTGGTCACTCAACGCACTCCCACCCTGTGTGCCCCAGGTTCTGCAGCAAAGGTGCCTTCCAGTATTTGCGACCAGGTCCACATAATCTCCTCAGCTCTGTCCCAAGCAGAAGTCACGAAGACAATTGGCAAACATCCCATTTCAGAGGCCGGTGAATTAAGCTAAGCCCCACACACCCTATCCTGAACACATCCGGGAATGAATGCAATAACCCCAAAGCCTACAGTTGCTCTCTCTCGTTCATGTCTCTTCTTGTTGTCACTCCTCTCTTTATGTACATATATATATATATATGTATACTCAATCAGAGACTCAATCATATGCACACAGGATTAAATACGTGATGTAAAACATAGCAAATAAGAACAGTATGAAACTACATACGTATTTTCGGAAAATCATAATATAGAATTGTAGTGTAAACGTATATACAAACATGCAGACTCGGAGGGCGATGTCTGCCGGAGATCTTCTACCGGTCACTTCTTCCTCCCCCCTGTCAATCCACTCGTCTGTCTCGCATGCGTGCAGAACCTGCCCGGCCTCAGCTGAGATTTGTGCATTGAGTTCTTCGAGTTCTGTGTTGTCAGTCGGGTTGGCGGACCGGCATCCGGCATTGAGACATCTCAGCCTGAACTGAGGGCTTTGTGCTGTAAGGCGTTGAACCAGGTTATAGGAGATGCATGCGACGGAGTCAGTCTCAGACACTCTCTAACTCTCACCTTCAGATGCAGTTTTGTGGCCAGCTGCAGCTGCAGTTCCGGAAACCCCCAAGTGCTTCTCAGACTCCATGACATCTCCTTCCGTAGCGACCCACGGCGAGAGGAACAGCGTCACCTCTCGGGAGGCAGGCAGGTATAGTAGAAGTTAGCATAAACAGCACGAGACGAACACGTGTGCGAAACACAACCCAAAACATGTTTTGCTGAATGTCCGTATGTGTGTGTGTGTGTATCTGAGTGTGTGTGTATATATATATATATACATATATGTGGATGTATGTCTGTCTGCCGGTGTGTGTGTGCATGTATGTATGGATGCATACATGCTTGGATGCATGCATTCATGGATATATGTATGTATGTATGTATGTATGTATGTATGTATGCATTCGTGTATGTCTGTACGTGTTTGTGTATGTCTGTATGTATGTATGTACGGATGGATGGATGGATGGCTGGATGGATGGATGGATGTATGCATGTATGTATGTAAGTATGTATGTATGTATGTATGTATGTGCATATGCATATATGTATGTGCATATGCATATATGGGTCTGTCTGTCGGTCTGTCTGTCTGTATGGTTATGTACGTATGTTTGTATGGTTGTTGGCTTCTTGCCTACCTGCCTGCCTTGCCTGCCTGGCTGCCTGCTTGCCTGCATGCCTGCATGCCTGCTTGCCTGCATGCCTGCTTGC